CTTAAAGTGGAGAGCAAATGTTTTGAGAATGATGAGGGCAATGAATGTACAAATGTGCTTTACACATTGATGTATGTATGGATTGTGATAAAGAGTTGTATGAGCCCCTAATAAAACTGTTTTTTAAAAATTTTTAAATACTATTAGCATAAACTCAAAAGTGTTTTTTCTTAGCATTTCTTTAATGAAAAATTCCAATGTTCTTGTTTATGTTTAATTATTTGAATAGAAGTTCTTAAAAAAAAGACAAAAATACAGCCTATATATTTTAATACAAAAATACTTTTTAGTAATTATTTGATTACTAAAAATGATTTGTGTGTTGGGATGAAGTAGTAAAAACTGTCATTCAAATGGCTGAGACTTCCTTAATAGGAAAGAGATGGTACTTTTTGGAAAATTAATTTTTAAATTTACTTTTAGGGAAATTACTAAATAAACACTATGAAAATAAGTTGATTGTGGGGGAAACCAGCCCCTCACAACTATCACGGGTCTGGTAGGTGCAATCAGATGGTTATGATATATAAAGATTATAGTAAATTCATAGAGTATAAAGAGGAGAGAGAGTAAAATAAAGAAATCAGACACATTTCATAGTAGCATGCTCACCTCAGCCCTTCTTGATGGTCCACGTGGGAATGTGGGTGGAAAGGAAGGCAGGATAGAGTTTGATTTATTTCAGAATAGATCATTGGGGGCATGCAAGCCTCATGATTACAGATAACGACCTACATCTTAAGAAGGGGTTGTAGCATAGGCAATACAAGCAATAGGAGGGGGGTGACCTAGGGGTGTGCACGCAATAATAAAAGGAGGGAATAGAGGTACATATGTGGCAAGATGGGCGGACCCTAGACTCAGTATAGTAGCATAACCGTAGTCATCCTTGAGTGGTACCAACCTTGCCTTCTGGCTCCTTCAAGGGAACAATCTATCCTTCTCAGAAGGGAGTGGGCCCTACTTAGGGTGGGTCAGACTATACAGTCTGGTTGCTCTAGATGGCTGATAACCCTTAGAATAACCTCTGCCTATTTTCGTTGACCGCCCATTGTACAGTCATTTACCATGTGTAGCAACAGCATCTTGGGTTTGGCATATATTTGGGGAGACAACTTGGGAGAAATCTTTCTGTATCCCACAGTTGATACCTGGAAAATTAGTGCCCTTGGGGAATAACAATTTTGTGATAACCCTTTGTAGACTTCCTAATTCCAAGTGAATTTTGGTGGCTTCTAAGGCGCCCTGGTGACACTGTTGGGTAAACTTTAGACTACTAACCACAAGGTTGGTGATTCAAACCCACTAGCCACTGCACAGAAGAAAGATGAGGCTGCCTACTCCTATAAAGATTTACAGCCTGCAAAACCCTATAGAGCATAGTTTCACAAACTTCTTTGGCTTAGTACTTCCTTTTCAGGAGAAAAAAAAAATTGCTCAACATTCCCCTGGTAATTAAAAACTTTCATACTGTAGGCAATAATCCGGGATAAAGTTTAGTTTTGTCTGCTTTCACAGCCCTCCAGATCACTCCAGTGGCCCCCAGGGGGCAGTATGGCCATTTTGGGAAACAACTATACTGTAGAGGGTATGAATCAGAATTGACTATGGCAGTGATTTTTTTGTTTTGTTTTTAATCATTTTATTGTGGGCTCATACAGCTCTTATCACAATCCATACATCCATCAATTGTGTCAAGCACATTTGTACAGATGTTGCCATCATCATTTTCTTTTTTTTAAAAATCATTTTATTGGGGGCTTGTACAGTTCTTACTGCAATCCATATATCCATCCATTGTGTCAAGCACATTTGTACATTTGTTGTCATCATCATTCTCAAAACATTTTCTTTCTTGAGCCCTTGGTATCAGCTCCTCTTTCCTCCCCCTACCCCCCCCCACTCCTTCCCTCATGAACCCTTGATTATTTATAAATTGTAATTATTTTTTCCTGTCTTACACTGATAGATGTCTCCCTTCACCCACTTTTCTGTTTTCTGCCCCCCAGGGAGGGGATTATATGTAGATCATAGCGATCGGTTATTTCTTTCTTCCCCATCTTACCCTTACTCACCTGTTATTGCTACTCCCATTGTTGGTCCTGAGGGCTATATCTGTCCCGGATTCGCTGTGTTGCGAGCTCTTATCTGTACCAGTGTACATGTTCTGGTCTAGCCGGATTGGTAAGGTAGAATTGGGGTTATGATAGTAGGGGTGGGGAGTGGAAGGGGTGGCAGAAGCATTAAAGAACTAGAGGAAAGTTGGTGTTTTATTGGTTTTATACTGCACCCTGACTGGCTTGTCTCTTCCTTGTGACCCCTTTGTTAGGAGATGTCCAATTGTCTACAGATGGGCTTTGGGTCTCCACTCCATATTCCCCCTCATTCAGATTGATAAAATTTTTGTTCTGGGTCTTTGATGCCTGATACCTGATTCCATTGACACCTCATGATCACACAGGCTGGTGTGCTTCTTCCATGTGGGCTTTGTTATTTCTCATCTAGATGGATGCTTGTTTATCTTCAAGCCTTTAAGATTCTATATGCTATATCTTTTGATAGCTGGGCACTGTCAGCTTTCTTCACCACATTTGCTAATGGCCCCATTTTGTTTTCAGTGATTCTGTTGGGAAGGTGAGCATCACGGAATTATGGCAGTTTTTTCTTGTTTTTGTATTTTAAATCATTGGGGCCACATACAGCTCTTATCGCAATCCATACATAACATCAATTGTATCAAGCACATTTGTACATTTGTTGCCATCATCATTTTCAAAACATTTTCTTTCTACTTGAGCCCTTGGTATCAGTTCCTCGTTTTCGCCTCCTACCCCCACCCTTCCTCATAACTTCATAATTTATAAATTATTTTTTCATGTCTTACACTTCACCCAGTTCCTCGTTTTCGCCTCCTTCCCCCACCCTTCCTCATAACTCTTCATAATTTATAAATTATTATTTTTTCATGTCTCCCTTCACCCACTTTTCTGTTGTCTGTCGCCCTGGGAGGACATTATATGTAAATCATTGTGATCCATTTTCCCTTTCTCCCTCCACCTTTCCCTTAACATCCTGTTATTGCTACTCTCATTATTGGTACTCAGGGGTTTATCTCTCCTGGATTCCCTGTTTCAAGCTCTTATCTGTACCCGTGTACATGCTCTAGTCTAGCCAGATTTGTAAGGTAGAATTGGGGTCATGATAGTGGGGGCGGGGAATCATTAAAGAACGAGTGGAAAGTTGTATGTTTCATCAGTGCTATACTGCACACTTACTGGCTCATCTCTTCCTTGTGACCCATCTGTAAGGGAATGTCCAGGTGCCTACAGATGGACTTTGGTTCTCCACTTCACTCTCCCCCTCATTCACATTGATAAGATATTTTGTTCTGGATCCTTGATGCCTGATACCTAATCCCTTTGACACCTCATGATCACACAGACTGATGTGCTTCTTCCATGTGGACTTTGTTGCTTGTCAGCTAGATGGCCGCTTGTTTATCTTCAAGCCTTTAAGACCCTTAGCGATAGATCTTTTGATAGCTGGGCATCATCACCTTTCTTCACCACATTTGCTTATGCACCCATCTTGTCTTCAGTGATTGTGTCGGGAAGGTGAGCATCACGGAGTTATGGCATTGGTTTTAAGGCCAGTATACGACTACTGTAATTTGTGGTTAACGCCTCCATTGGATTTCAGTTGTTTGACCAACTGTATCAATATTGTGGGGTTTTTTTGTCCTTAAACCATCCTGTAATTTCATTGGTGGTTTTAAATGTTCTTCATCAGGTATCTCAAAAAGTAAAGAAATTCTCTGTTTATTTTTTTTAACAGAAGCAACCACTGGTTAGACCTTTTAATATATTTTTGTTTCTTTTTTATGAATAGTCCTCTGGTATAGGCCTTAGACTTCTATATAAGAACACTTTTATTGGGGTAACATTTAAAAATTTCTCTCATTATCACAATATTCTTATTTCTTAATTTATTTTAAAAGTATTACAACTAAGGTTAAGCAACTATATCTGACTATTGCTAAACATTTTAATATATAACTATAAACAGCTTAAATAAAGGCAACCAACAACTACAGTGATGCTCAGCCAGAGGTGATTTTGCACTCTGGGGTATTTGGCAATTTCTGAAGACAATTTTAGTTGCCGCAACTCAGGAAATAGCACTGTAATCTAATGGGATACATGGTAGGATGCTGTTAAGCATCATGTAACTCACAGAACAATCCCCTCATAAAGAATTATCCAAGCCAGAATGTTAGTCATGCTGAGCTTGACAGATCCTGCTGACGGTGGCCCTCCTTAGTCCAACCTTGCTTTGGATAGTAAATGCTTGTGGTAAGGGCACCATTCACACTTGTATCTCAAAGTCTTGTAAGTAGTACACCTGGAGAGTCTCGTCCCCTACCCCCAGGGGGGTATAATGGGTCACTAGAATGGTTTCAGGTCTGTGGCAGAGAAAATATATATAGTTAACATAATCAGTAATGGCTTGTGAAAATTAGTGTTTATTCCTATAGTGCCACTAAAGCAATCTACAATTTCTGTAGAGACATGGCAACTAAGCAACTTTGTGCCACAGTTTGCTTTAAGTGC